CTGGACAGGCTGCAGGCGAAGTCCAGGAGCCCGCGAGGGTGGGGTAGGGGTCGGGGGAGGAAGGCAGCGCCACCCAGTTACTTTCTGCTTACGCTGTCACAGCTCATGCATGTGCAGCTTCTACGAACCAGTCACCCAGCGGCTGGCTGGCTGGGGGACCTGGCACCAGCCGGAAGCAACTGCATGGACTTGGCAAACACTGCCCAGGAGTGGTGGGGCTCTGGCCCATTGCAGCGTCTCAGCGGCACAGGATGGATGCAGGGTGGACGGCAGAGCTTTTGTCTCAAGAGACTGTGAGCTTGTGCCTGATTCTCAAGGCCCACAGTGACAGGATCTGGTGGAGGTCTGACACACCCTTTGCCGACTGTTTGCCTGGATCGCCTTGTGACGACAAGGGCATCCTTGCCTTGCGTTTGACCCTCAGGGCCCAGATCCGCTCTCCATCTGCGCCAGGAATCGCACAAATACCTGACAGCCACTATTGAGGAGACAGACGAGCCTCATTCGTCCATCTTCCGGGCCCCTTCCCCGCCCACTGACCACAGGCTCTCGGTTCCGGGCTGCCAGGCAATTCTCCCCTGCTCCCTGCCCCTACCTCCAGGCAGCCTCACACCTCAGGGTTCAAAGCTGTTTTGCAGCAGCAGCAGAGGCAGCAGCACCAGCTGAAATAACAGCAGAGGGAGGCCTCTGGAATGAGTCACCCTTTCCAAGTATGTGAACACACATTCCCTTATTTTATTTGTCCTGATAACTGCCCCTCACCTCTGGGCAGCCGGGGACGAAGGGTGCAGCTGACAGCGGCTTCCTTTTCAAACAACGTCCTCCTCAGGAATGCCAGCAATCTGACCAGCTGCCTCTTCCCGAGACTTCTCCTCCCCCCTTCACAGAACCCGCAGTCTCCACTCTGCCCTGGAGTCAGCACCAGGCTAGCCGGGTAATGGGACACCCCCTTCCCCACCATCTCCCCCACCTTCCCTCACCCCACCCCGGCCTCAAGGTCTTAGACCACAGGGGAGGCCCACTTGGGGCTTGTGCCTCCCTGGTGCTCAACTTCAGGGGACCGGGGTTTCCTGGAACGCGACTCTTGTGGGTTTCAATGTGCATGGGGCCCCTATAGTTGTGCACAGCTATATGTCTGAGGCTCTGACATGATGTACTGAAGAGGACCTGGGGTCCTTAACACCTGCCACATCCACAGGTCTCTGTCGAGGAAAGAAGCCCCAGTGTGTCCTGTGGCTAAAGGGCGACTGGGGTACTGGGGTGGGCGGGCGTAAGACTCTGCCTGACTGTGATGTTCCTCGTGAGTGGTGACGGACCCAAGACATCACCTCTTTGAGGGGTTTGACTATGAGATGCAGTGGCAGCAGAGACAGCAGTTGGGGTGAGACAGTAGAGAGAGAAGAAGAAGCAAGAGGAACAAGTAACAAAGAGCTCAGCTTTGCCCGCCTAGAAGAATCCCAAGAAGGGTAAGCAGTCATGGATGCCCAGGTCTAAGGTGGTGGCATGACAGTGGGTGCTTAGAGCTCCCGGTACATCCTGAAGGGTGAGGTGTTAATGGGCCTGCTGGGAAGTAAAGAGACCCTTGGTGAATGGGGTGTGCGTGGCTAGGACCCACGCCTGAGTTTCTCCTTGTCCCTGGGGATGTTCCCGAGGAACTCCCATACCCTGAGGCAAACTGGGCACGCCTGGTGGAAGCTGAAAAAGCCTGACCAGAATAGGAAAGAATTATTAACGGAGGAACAACTGAACTCCCAAGACATTAAGTGACTTGCTGACGCAGCCACTGATGGCTGCTGACCCATCAGACATTCCCTTGCCTCCCTTTTCACCAGAACCCTTATCTCTTTAGGGATGACAACACAGGCAGCTGACACTTCTCCACAGAGTCCCTTATACCTAGGTGACCAAATGACAGAGTTCTGGCCAATTAGACATAAGCTGAGCATTTAGGGAAAAGCTTCTGATTCCTGATCCAGGGATCGTCCTGGCTTTCTAGTCTTCTTCTTTATGCCTCTGATGCAGCAGCCATCGGCCACCAAGAGGAGGAAAGCCACCTGCCAGGGACAGTATAGGTAGGAAGGTAAGAGGCTGAGTCCCTGATGACATCGTGTGAACCCTGGATTGGCTCCTTCCGGAATTCTCATGATAACGACTTACTTGTTTAAGCCACTCTTGGCTTAGTTTTCTGAGTTTTGCAGCTGAATGCATTCCTGACTGATTCACCTGCCTAAGTCATAGGGCTGCTGGTAAACGGTGGGGCTGGGCTCCAAGCAAGGTCCGTACAACTCCAGAGTCACCTTGCTTGTTCTCTTCTGGGCACACTACCTCTGGCTTTCAGAACAAGGGGTCTGCGAGTTAAATAAGATGCTGTCTGTAAAGCCCCTGACATATTCTAGCAGACGCCTAGTAAATATCAGCCACTGTTATTACTATTATTACGAGGCCGAGTAGGCTCCACACGGCTCCAAGCTCCTGTTTTAGTACCTATGACCACAGTCAAGTAGGAACCCAGAAAGAGTTGTCTTTCTTTCTGGAAGACAGAGTGAGGAAGCGCTAGGTCCTTGGGCCTAGGGGGGCTACTGGGAGCAGAGGGACATGGACTCCCATTCCTAGAGCCTGCTTGTCCCCTGGGAAGGGCAGTACAGATACAGTGATCCCTGCCACCATTAGCTGATCAGAAGACTCGCTCCCTGTTCCTGCAGTCTGGACCCAGCACATAGAGAAAGCCAGACAGAGGCCCTGACAAGGCTCAGTAAGGGGCATCAGGCACCCTGGCAAACTTATGCATTTCTCTTCTTCCCCAGACACAGAAGTGTGTCTCCTGAAACCAAAGATAGTGTTGCTTTCACAACAGAACATTGGAAACAATCCGAAAGCCTAATAGTGAGGTATTATTTTCAAAAGCGATGCTACGTCCACAAAAGGGAATGAATATTCTGTAGTCATTAAATATGATATTCTCTAAGTGTTTTTATAATTTGGGAAAAATTCTCCTGTTATGTGAAAACCAGGTGGCATATTAAGCTATCTATGTGCTGTATTTCCCATGATTCCCTTACGACATTTAGGCATATACATATGTAAGAGAAATTTAAAATGCAAGAAAAAACAATGACGAATACCTTTAAGTTGCGGTATTAATGGAGAACTTTTTTGTCTGTACGCTTTTGGATATTTTCTATATTTTCTATAGTTTCTTTTATAACCACAAGAAAACTCCTTACAAATAAGCTGAAGAAAGGGGAAAGGGTGTTAATAACAGACGTTATGACACTGTTACCAGTATTTGGGCAGGATATCTGGCCGCAAAACATGCTGTTTGCTACAGCCAGAAAGCATACATTTCAGTGAAATATTTTTAAAATCGAAGACGGTCTCTGATATGGCTCTCCTCATTTCCCAGTAAAAAGCGGCCCAGGTCTAGAGGCACATCCCTCCCCTCTTTGAAGCAGCTCTGATCTGAGACCCCTCTCACCGGGGTTCCCTGAGAGAAGACCCTCCTCGTAAAAGACTACCTTTGTCAAGTTCACAGAGCACAAACACATGAGACACACGGAGAGGTGTGGCTTGGTGTTTTGAGGAGACTGGAACATGGTTTCTCTCCCTAATAAGATGAAAAGTGACCAAATGTTAAGAGACAGGTTTTCTCTGCAGCACAGCTCCCTATAGAATGAGCATTCCATAACGATCAAGCTGGAGTCTTTGGAACTAGGTCTAAGCCAGCCATCAAACCACCACAGCCATGGCTGACTGACTATGGAAGTGCTCTGGGCCACCTTTCTTTCTGTCCTTCCTCCCGAAGAGTTTGTGTTCCCGTATTACACTATCACTTCTTTCCTCACATTGCACACTTGAACCCAGTGGTCTGGAAGTGACAATATTTCCACTGTCTTTCCTTCACCCTTGACACAGCAGGTGTCCACCCGGGCCTGGATGCTTAGAGATGAAAAGTCAATTTTTCATCACACACTCAACGGTTCAAAATATTGTTTGGGACCAAAGATCAGAACACATCAGAGATAATAATAAAACCATCGTTGGGACTCCTGGGTGGCTCAGTCGGTTAAGCATCCGACTTCAGCTCGGGTCATATTTCACGGTTCGTGGGTTTGAGCCCCGCATCGGGCTCTGTGCTGACAGCTCGGAGCCCGGAGCCTGCTTCGGATTGTGTCTCCCTCTCTTTCTCTGCCCCTCCCCTGCTCGTGTTCTGTCTCTCACAAAAATAAAAAATGTTAAAATTTTTTTTAAAAATCCATTATTAAAAACTCACGTGATAAAAGATATTCTTTTCATTCAAAGAAATTGTGTTGTCCTACACAACTTTAAGATTCTATTTCCTTGCACTCAGGAATGACCAGAACGCTATAAGCATTCTGTGAAGAATCTCCTTTCAAGTTTGGGTTATGCAGACAGATGCAGCACTCCCAGCTCCCACAAAGTGTTGTAAGGTTTCCCCTCTAACCCCCATCTGGCTTAACATCACACTCATTTTTTCTCGTAATGTGAAAGTTCAACAGCTTGAAATGTTACAGCTCTGTAAAAAGCAGCATTACCACCCAGCAACAGCTCAGAGCTCTGACATTCTGAATATGGAATTTGTAATATATCTCAGAGTACAATCCAGACTTGATGAAGAAAGGGTTGGCTAATACAGTACACTAATATTGCAAGAGGAAATATTTACTCTGTTTGAGCAACAACTTTTTCAAGCGGCCACAAGATCACAGAATGCTGAACTGGGAGGGCCCTGGAGATCCTCTAATTCCTTCAAATCCAAGCCAGGGGCCTGGGCACCCCCGCAAGGGAGCTTGATAGTGAGGGGGGGCGGTCAGGGCCCCCATCTGGGTTTCCTGCATTTCTAGGTCCACTAAGTAACATTTACGTTAAAGCATCTGTCTCCCCACCTTGCTCTCTCTCACCTATCTACTGAATAAAATCCAGACCTGGTTTTCAAGGCCCCAGTCCCACTTTTCTACCTTTATTTCACACTATCCAAACACCTGCGCCTGGGATACCATCTCCTCTGCTGAAGTCCTCTGTCCACTGGTATTCGATACATCCCGTCCTCCACGCAGCCTCCGTGGCTCCTCCAACCTGATAGGCTCTTGTTCTCCAGAACGATCACACCGGATCGTCCCTATGTCTACTAGAGAATGTATCCTATTCTGCACTCTATTTTTAGTATGCTGTTTCATATCCTTCATCAGATTGCAAGTTTCCAGAGGACAGAAAAAATGCTTGATTCATATTAATTACTTTGTTAATGATTCCACGGTCCTTTGTTTATTAGCAGTGCTCAAGAAACTCAGAACAAATGTGTTCATAACACATTCTTCTTGTCTATAAAGGCAGATCCAATGAAGGATCAATTCACTGCATTGTAATTCTGCGTACAGAGAATTAGAAGCAAACCTTTTCCTCACTTTTTCTCCCATATTGTTTTGAAGATTTTCACATACACAACAAAGTATGTTTAAGGTCACCTAGATTCTACCATTAACATTTTACCGTACTTGCTTTATCATATCACGTACCTATACACACATCCATTCATTAATCCATCTAATCTTTTCAATGTCTTTCAAAGTAAACTTCAGGTATCATTCTACTTCCTCTAAATAATTCATCATGTGTATCATTAACTACAGTTCAATGTTCATTTTTTCTCTCTTGAGGTAAAATTTATATTCAATGAAGTGTTCAAATCTTAAGTGTATATACACCTGGTATACATAAATATATATACTTGAGTTAAAAAAAAAATCCTTACTCCTGGAGCACCTGGGTGGCTCAGCTGGTTAAGCCTCTAACTTTGGCTCAGGTTATGATCTCATGGTTTATGAATTCAAGCCTTGTGATGGGCTCTGTGCTGACAGCTCGGAGCCTGGAGCCTGCTTCAGATTCTGTGTCTCCCTCTCTCTCTGCCCCTTCCCTGCTCACACTCTCTTTCTCTCTCAAAAATAAATAAACATTTAAAAAGTTATATAAAAAAAAATCCTTACTCCCCCATAAGGAACAACTGTTTTGATTTTTTCCCCACCATACACTAGTTTTGCCTATTCTAGAATTTCATGTAAATGGAATAAAATAATATATACTCTTTTTGGTGGAAGGCTTCTTTCACTTAGGTTTTTTGTTTGTTTGTTTGTTTGTTTGTTTGTTTGTAATTTTCTCCTTGATATGTATTGCTGAATAGCATTCCGTTGTATGAATATACCCCTATTTGTATATCCATTTTCCTATTGATGGGGACACCTAGGCTTCATATGTGTTTGTCAACAAATATTTCAATTTCTCTTGTATAAATATTTATGACTGGAATTGCTGAGTCAAACAAGGATACATTTAGTTTTATAAGAAATGCTCGAGGGGCACCTGAATGGCTCAGTTAAGCATCTGAATTCCCTCAGGTCAGGATCTCATAGTTTGTGAGTTTGAGCTCCATGTTGGGTTCTGTGCTGACAGCTCAGAGTCTGGAGCCTGCATTGGATTCTGTGTCTCCCTCTCTCTCTCTCTGCCCCTCTCCCATTTGTTCTCTCTCTCTCTCTCTCAAATAATAAATGAATAAACCTTAAAAAACACTACAAAAAAAAAAAAAAGAAATACTAGACTTTTTCCAAAGTGGTTATACCATTTTACATTCCTACCATCATTATCTGAGAGTTCCAAATTGCTTGTGAGAAGGTTTTTGATGCTGAAGTAGCATTTTAAAAACATATTTATTTATTTTGAGAGAGAGAGAGAGAGAGAGAGAGAG